ACCTAGACAATTCTATGAGCCTATGATTCTTTCGCCCACTGCCTTCCCTCCCATTCCCTCTCCCTCCCTTCCCTAGACAATTCTATGATTCTGTGATTCTTTCGCCCACTGCCCTCCCTCCCATTCCCTCTCCCTCTCTTCCCCCCCAACATGAACAGCACAAAATTGGCCTTACAAACAACTGCTTATCCTCAAATTGAGCTGAAGAACCTCAACCTTTTCTCTGGAAAGAAAAAAAAAAAACAAACAACCCCAAACCTGTTTTCAAGCAGTTGAAACCACTCAGCCCTGGAGAATCGTGCTGTCTATAAATGGTTTATACAGGCATCTACAGGGTTTATCAGGCGGGATTAAATATACAGATGTGGCAATGCCAGGGCTGAGCAGTGGAGAGGGGTCGGGATGCGGGCGGTGTGGGTTGGCACAGCCCTCCCCCAGGCTCCGGATCCAGGCAGATTTGGGATGGGTAAGATACCAGCCCCAGGGGAGCAGTTTGACGTGGGCTCACAGACAGCAAAGGGAGAGGCAAAAAATAAAAAAACATCACATTTTCCTCCCTGTCTCAGCAACCCCAGCCCCTGCTGCTGCTGCGTCTCTCCCGTTAGCAGAGCCTGGCATCACAACGGGGACAGCCTCGGGGCAGGGAAAGGGGGATCCCCAGGGAGGACCACGCCAATGCCAGCCTTGGGGACTGCACCAGGCTGGCACTGCCCTCACCCCCGGTCACACCGTGGTCCTTGTGTCCCCCCCTGCAATCCTTGCTGCCCTCAGGGAAAGCAGCCTTGGGGCAGTGGATGCCTGCCTCGGGGAGCCCGCTTCCTGCCGCTGCCTGCTGGCTGGCATCTTTGCTGTTTACAGGAAAACCACCTCACGCTCGGATTTGAGGGACATGGAGGAGAAGCCTGTTCTTCTCACTCCCCCAAATCCCCTGGCCGGGATGCGGCGCGGTGCCTGGGGGTCCCCCGGGCACGTCCAGGCTCTGCATCTTCCAGCTCCTACTCCATCCCCCCCCCCGACTCGGCCTGCAACAAATCAGCGCTGCCTTCTCCTTCCCGATGGGATGCTCGCTGCCTTCATCTTCTCAGAGCTTATTTTCGGCGCTGCCTGGCTCCTCGCAGCGCTGGCTGCCTGCAGAGCTGCAAGGCGGGCAGGAGGGATGTGGCCACTCCATGCCCCACAGCCCTGCCCGACAGGGAGCCACGTTGCCGCATTGGCTTCGGTGGCCTCTCCAAGGTGCCCGTTAGCCCAACCCCAGTCCCCTGCTGACTGCAACACATGCAGCCGAGGTTCTTAGCTGGTCATCTTGAGAGCCCACGCTCATTGCTGCCTGCAGAACTGTCTCCACGGCCCCTCCAACCATCCCTGAGCCCCCCACGGATGCAGGCACATCATGCGGGTGCCTCAGTTTCCCCGGAGGGCAGAGAGGATGCGGCTGGTTCCCCTCCTCCCCACGGTGTCAGGTCCACTTAGCTCGGACAGTCTCTGGAAGAGGAGCTGTCGCACAGTGTACGTTTCCTCCTCGCCCCAGGGCTCCAGATCCTGCCTCGCGCCTCCCAGCACCACGGCCCCGTACACATTAATGGCAACGGTAATCGGAGGAGACTTCTCCCAGCTCCTGGTGCTGGGAGAGACGATGAGTGGGGGATGAGGACTCCTGCACGGTGCCTCGCAGCCAAGTGCCCGCTGCCTGCAGCCCCCTGGCCTGGACAAGGCACCCCAGGCTGGGCTTCACACAGCCAGACCTTCACACAGACACACAGCACCCTCAGCCAGGACCTCACAAACCCCTGCTCTGGCTTTTTGCAGAGGAGAAGCCAGCACGGACCCGAGCCCCTCACTCGCCCTGGGGAGAGGGGGCACAGGGGGTACCACGCTCTCCTCATCCTCTCCTGAGACCCTCCTCTGCAGACCCCTGCAGCAATGGCTTCGTACAGCGGCTCCTGGCCGTTACCAAACTGTAATTAATACAATTAAACAAGATGAGGCAGCCACAGTAGGGTGAATGGGAACCTGGAGAACATATCCGCCGGGAATCATTTATTCTGAGCTTTTCTCTCTCTCTCTTTTTTTTTTTTTTTTTTTTTTTAATACTATTTGCTTCCTTGCAAATTAAACACAGATTGCCTAGGATGAGAGGCGACTCTGCGGCTCAGCCAGGTGGCCCCAGGGGACAGGGTAAAGGCAACCAAGCAGCCCGAGTCCCAGCACTGCCTATGCCAACCTGGTTAAAAAGCAGCTCCCCTGCCTCAGTTTCCCCCAGCCTGGCAGCCACTCCATCCCCCCGGGTGATGCAGACATGACTGTCCATCTTCCCTTCTCCAAGGAGCTCACCTGCCCCTACCGAGGGCCAGGACTGCCCATCCACTGAGCCTCCAGGAAAGACAAGCACAGGGGTCCCAGCAGGAAGTCTGAGCCCCCCGGGGTCTGTGCCCCAGCTTGCCTGTGGGCTAGCCCTGAGCTGCAGCCCCAGGGAAGGCACCTCAAGGCCAGGTTTGAGGGACTAAGGAGCCCAGCAGTTCCCAGCACCTCCTTCCCCAGACGGTCAGTACCTCCAGAGCATCCCTCAGCCCCTGCCCAGCCCTCCATCCCAGCACGTCCCTCGTCCCCGGAGCATCCCTCAGCCCAACGCATCCCTTGATCCCAGCACATTTCTCATCCCCGGAGCATCCCAACACGTCTCCTGATCCCAGCACAGTCATCAGCCCTGCCACATCCCTAAGACCCCGGGGCATCCCTCCATTCCGGGGCATCTCTCCATCCCAGCGCATCCCACCATCCTGGGGCATCTCTCCATCCCGGGGCATCCCTCCATCCCAGCGCATCCCACCATCCTGGGGCATCTCTCCATCCCGGGGCATCCCTCCATCCCAGCGCATCCCACCATCCTGGGGCATCTCTCCATCCCGGGGCATCCCTCCATCCCAGCGCATCCCACCATCCTGGGGCATCTCTCCATCCCGGGGCATCCCTCCATCCCAGCGCATCCCACCATCCTGGGGCATCTCTCCATCCCGGGGCATCCCTCCATCCCAGCGCATCCCACCATCCTGGGGCATCTCTCCATCCCGGGGCATCCCTCCATCCCAGCGCATCCCACCATCCTGGGGCATCTCTCCATCCCGGGGCATCCCTCCATCCCAGCGCATCCCACCATCCTGGGGCATCTCTCCATCCCGGGGCATCCCTCCATCCCGGGGCATCTCTTCATCCCGGGGTATCCCACCATCCCGGGGCATCTCTCCATCCCAGCGCATCCCCCAGGCCCGTCGCACCCCCGGCCCCTATCAAATCCCTCAGGGAGCTGCCGCCCCGCACCTCGGAGCCCCACAACGAGGGGACCTGGGCTCCAGGACAGCCCCGACGGGGCGGCACAAGTCCCCGAGGCGGCGGGGAGGAGGCGGGCACGGCGGCGGGGGGCTCCCCGCC